TCTCTCTCTCTCTCTCTCTCTCTCTCTCTCTCTCTCTCTCTCTCTCTCTCTCTCTTTCCTCTCGAATGATGATGCGTCTGAATGATTGTCCCGCTTTTGAATGGAAATAAGTCGGCATTCTGTGTGAAAGAACTTCTTCCAGTACTCTTCCATTAGTTTCCAGGGTAATCCTCCTACGCAAGGAGCCTGTCTTCTTGTCTTGTGAACGGTGGATGCGTGTGTACTGAGTAATGCGATCCATTTTTTTTCCTGTGCATGTCTCATTTTCGCACCTTCCACAGTGAATGCATCTACGGAATGTGTGACTCTTTTGTTGATTAGACGATTGTCGTCGGGATTTTATTCGAGAATGCAAGAGTGTTTAGATCTGTAGCTCTGTTTGCACTGCGCATGCCATTTGCCTTATGCTGCACGACATCAGCAGCCGAGCCACGAGGCGGCCCTGAGAAACAAGGCGCCCAGGGACCAACGTTGTGTTGAACTGATCGGACCCGTATCCATATGCGTGATCAAGCTGATCTGTGTTTGCTCTCTCTCTCTCTCTCGTGTCAGAAAAAATTGATTGAGGGACGCGCGAATCATTTTTGTTCTTCATGACGTCTCAGGATATTTTGTGATTAATTGACATGTGGACTGACAAGTACCCTTCGATTGGGCGCTAGCCTCCCGTATCTCCCATCCCAAACGCGACCTTTTCCTTACAGTGAGGAAAGGACACGTGTATGTGAGTGGGACGTACGAGAAGCCGTTGCACAAATTGGCGGGCAGTATTACTTCCCTCCGACCAACCGTTGTTCTGGTTTCGTAGAAGCCGGGTTTGTTATTATCGATACGCACTTCCCACCTTACTCGGTATTGTTGCCATTTAACGAGTTGATCGTCATTCCGTGGACGGCAGTAGAACCCCACTGGTCGCGCACTCTGTGCACCGAATGTCAGCGTTTTGAGCGCTACGAGTCCAGGGGTTTCCACTACCGTGTGCAGAGTGAAGACGAGCATAAAGAAAGAGCCACGCGACTGAGACCCTCCACGTCAGACTCAGAACTAACCAGCGAACGACGACGAGACTTGATACGAAAACGGGACACGCGAAGCGTGCCCAAGCCTTTCTGTTCGAAACGACGGGCTGTAGCCCGATGGGAGGCACGACAATACTTTTTGGATTGAATTTGGATCTTTCTGTTTTCGCGCCATGACCGCGCGCGCATTCCGCGACGCGCGAAAT